AGAGCGAACGAGGAGGAAAACTGACCCTCTATCCGGAAAACAAGGTCAGCTGTTCATGCGGAAAAAATCCACCTCAAAAAAGAAAAAAAAAGTAAAGAAAAGGTCGGGGGCATCCTGTTCTGAGTCAACAAGGCGCGCCTGGCTGGGCTTTGCTTGTGGGCGAAGTCGAGGGAATCACAGGCGAGTTTGGCGGGTCCATGCCTCTTTTTTCGCTGCCTAACTCGTGATGCGTGCGAACATCCCCCCAAAAAAACATCAGAGTGCCAAAATAGCAAAATTTTGACTTAGGATTGTGGATTAAAGTGGATTTTGGATTTTAAAACAGGGTTGCCAAACGCAAGTCTCGAAAGATTACGCGTGATCGCCGAGAAACCGCCAACCGCCTCTCGGTCTGCCTGAACGGGGTCGCTCGCAAACCCCATCCGCAACCGCTTCGCGAACGCGGATCCGCTTCCAGTGTGAATGCGTCATAAGGGCCCAAGAACACTGCCCTGAAGGACTCCGGATGTTACAGGACAATATGAAGATTAGGAATCGTTAACTACAGTGTTCTGAGTTCGATTGGTTAGATTGCCTGACCCATGATACCACTGATGGATGAATATGAAGTTGATTTAGTTTAAGTATTATTAAAGTATTTGATACCCTATAAAATTCCTTAGAAGAGTCAATAAATATGGCGTCAGCCTGTATGTTATCATCGATGTTACTGTGTACTTCATGGACAAACTGCACCAGTTGAGTTTCGCGGGAAAATGATTGAAGGAGCACATGCTGATTTGTAAAAAGGAGGTGGTTATTTTCGAAATGCTTCATGACGTTTGAATAAATGATACGCTGGAGACGTCTACGCACAAACACTGGTTAGAGAAATCGGATGATGGCTCGGTGATGAAGTTCGATCGCCTGATTTACAGATGGGAACAACTTTGCAAACTTTCCAGTCTGTTGGAAGCTCGCCAGAAGTTAAGGATTGCTGAAAGACGATAGAAAACAAGCCAATTTGATTTGGTGTTTTTTAGTAGTTTGGAATTACTTTTGTCGTCACCCGAACTCGATGATAGCTGGATCTTTTCTATTGAGTTTATAACTCTTGAATAGGTTATTTCAATGGCGTTCATGGGTGGCTGGTCAAATCTTGAAGATGAGGCCTGTTGTCGTGGTCATCCGACGTGAAAACGGTGCTGAAATAATGGTTAAGGCTGTTGGCACTTTGTTCGTCTGCCGGTGCTAAGTGGTCATTACTGAACAGGTTTAGCTGTCTTCGGATCAATTACCTCCTAAATTTTTTTAAGGTTTATTGTGAACAATGTTAATGTTAAAAAAACTTGCTTTCGCTTTCACAATCGATTTTTAATAGGTGCTAGCTATCAAGTTTAACTTTTCCAATACGATGTCAGTAAACGACTGTTTAGCATACCTAAACAACCTTTTTTATGTTAAGCTAGTGATGCGTTTTGTCGTGCCGTTCAATTTTAATTGTCGGAATGTAAATGTTAGCAAGAAGCGTGATTTTGTTCTTGAACAACGTCCAGTTTTTGTTCATTGTTAGGTTTTCACAGCCGCTCTGAAAACTCTCGAAGAATATATAAAACTCGTTGTTAATGGCATCATGATTAGCTGTATTATAGTTTTTAATAGTTTTGAAGTATGGTGACCTTTGTTGAACCTCAAACGCAAAATTGAGATGAATGACGGCATGATCACGAACCACTAACAGGTGAATGATATGTTATATATTTTACAGGTGCAGCGTCAGTATTGAGGCAGAGATATGAATTTTGTTATTGGTTGGTCTCGTGGGCTATGTGATTATCTGAGCGAGATTAAATGTAAGGCAGGTATCCACAAAAGTGCCCCAAAGTGTGGTTTGAAAATAAAAGAGTATCCCAGATTAGGTCAGGACAATTGAAATCGCCTAAGAGGATGCATGATGCGTTGGAGGATTGTTTGGAAGTAAGAGTCGTGATGCTCTTCAAAGAACCCATTAACGCGGTTCGGCGGCCAATAGCACACACCGAGAAAAATGCAGGAGGAGTAGGAATGAAGCCGTAATCACAACATTTTAAGAGAACTTGGAACTTGAACCAGGCAATCTACAATGTGATTTCGTACAGGATTTGTGAGTACACCGCCCCCACGACTGAACTCCCGGTCGCACAGGTAAAGGGTGTAATTTAAGGAGGAAGAAAACACTTTTAAGTCTTTGATATCGGGTCTCAGCTTGGTAAAAATCACTCTAATCGCTGCTTAATGTCGAAGACTATGACGAGGATTGCGACACCGTAGACGTGATCGTCACGAACCGCGTGCTCGAAATGCGAAGATAAACGAGGATGCTTGTTATGTTACGAGGACAATGACTGAGACCAGAACCATGTCCATTCCATAAGCGTCGTGCCCCGAGATCCTGTCTCAATCTCACGAGCTCCCCAACACTTCCTTATTTCCAAGCGCGTATGTCAGGAACATCGCAAAGCTGAAGCTGTAGACGCGAAGAGAGCCAAGTCTGTGAGTCCGTGCAAGGGGAAGCCGCACGTCGGGCAGGCGACGTCACCAACACGACAACCACGACGGCCTTTTCGAATGGGGAAGGTCCGAGGGTCCCGCATATAAATCGATTTGTCCACAAAAATATCGCGCCATTTTTAAAACAAATTTAGCAGAGATATAGCAACATACAATGGGTTCCTAGCAGTATAGTTATCTCATATTTTATTTTTGGCGTATCCTAACCCTTTAAGTTCATGCGTGATCTACGGATACCGAAATAATATTGGCTGGAAAAGAAAGCCGTCGCTTCTGTCGTTGTCATTGCGATGTATCATATCTAATTTTGTGGTTTTGTTAAGAGCAAAAGCGAACGCGTTCACATGCGCCTCGACCTTTTGCATTCCGTGTAACCAGACATTATAGCATTTATTGTGATTAAAGAGCATACTTGTGACTATTATTAGCGTAGTTCGTAAGCACGTGCTGCAAACTTCTTGCTCAATATATCCGGACACGCTCGCGCGGCGAAGACTGGGGACGAGTACGAAAATTTCTGCAAGGTGTCGCCCGTAAAGTTGTCGCTTCAAGAGTAAAAGGTTACCAACCACGAGAAGTCCCCGTGCGCTCTCGACGGTCGCATGGCCTCCGACTTCGCGCTTCGGGATCTCGGAGGCCATGACGGACGCGAGATGGTTTTAGACGACGCCGACAGTGGCGGGACCTGCGTGGCTACCTCTCTCCTTTCGACGGCAACGACAACGTAGGCTGAAACGCGTGTCTCGGCTCGGTGATAATGAGCCTTAAAGGGATGGTGAACCGACATTTGGATTTCAGAAAACACCGCAGGAGCTGTAGACGGGACGCTACAGTCTCTACAACACTACTCGTAAGGCGATGTCTCAAATGGACAGCCGTATTTTTGAAGAAAGAAAAGAATAAAGGTCGATATATAATGAGACCGACGAGGCGCGTGACGTCAAGATATCTCGTTACCTCCTCTCTTCGTTTCTCCCCTCAACGCGGCGAGGCGGAGAAGACGCGCGGCCGGTCCCTCTCCTTCTCGGAGAAATAAGACGTGAACATATCTGTCAAACGTGCCTCCTCTTTTGAGAATTACGGTGTATGTAGCGTCTTGTTGCACGCCTTTTGCCGCCGTTCTTTGTGGAATCCAGATTTCCGTTCAACATCTCTTAAAAAAAAAAGAAAAAAAAAAAGAAAAAAAACTTGAAAATTAAAAAAAAAGTGTTTTTTAAACAGTCTGGTTGCGAGTCGCGACACGCGTGTAAAAAATAATTCTAAGGCGAAAAACAGTTTTTTAGAAGAATATTGACGGCGCGAGACCCGATTTAGGCGGTAGGTGGTCGGTAGTCACCTCGATTGCACTTGTTTTCTCTCTCGGCATTTCGGGCGCATGGAGGAGAGGTGGATCGGCCTGGCCATCACGTTGTGTTGGGGAGAGCGTATGACAATGTGGTTGAGGTGGAAAGAGTGTATGACCATACCGTGACGTCATGGACCTGGCGCGCCAAAGTGAAAGTAATCCTCCCGCCGACAATATTGATTAAAATTTTTTTTTTTACGTAAAATTATTTTTTGACCCGCTCTGAAACGTGGTCGGGTGTAGCCACGTGACTTCCGGTAACCCTCTTCTCTAGATTTCTCCCTCCTACTCGGTACACATCGTCCGCATGTCGCGGCCATGAGCTTCCGTGCTCATCTCTCGGTTTCAAGCAGTTGGGATCTTTTGGCTTTATTAAAAACATTCGTCACTCTGCAACAAAATATGCGGAGAACAAGTTGTCTGCTTCTTGCGAGGGAGTTGTGGTGACGTCAGAACGACGCCGTGCTGTGACTGGCTTTGATTGAAAGGATAGTGGGTAGGTCTCAATGTTAGAGGCCTTAAAGTCTACCCTGCATTTTTTTTTTTTCATTCGGCCAATAAGAGCTCGGCGTTCTGACATCACTGCAAGCTTTGCGCAAGAAGCAGACGAACTAGCGCTCGGCATCGATTGGGTCGTCTGCTGACGCCATAGTAAACAGCCTGGAAAATAATAAATTAAACATTTTTGGGGGGTGTCAGTGTCTCTTTAAGCAACTTCAAGCTAGGATCACTATTGATTCTCGCCATGAAATGCCGGCGCTGAGTGATTAAGAATCGCAGGGCATGGCTTCTTGCTTCTTGCTTTGTGATTCATTCTTCGGGACCTTTATCCACAGGTGCCTCATTGGTTGACGAGTTCTATTAAGACACTCACCAGGCTCTGCCTTTCTTTATGAACTGTGAGAAATTACAAAGGCAAATGACTTCATTTATTTAACTTATGATTTATTTCAAAATAATATTGCTAGTCTCTTATAAGACTACGATAGGAAAAGGCATATACGCCTCAGTCAAAAAAAAAAAAAAAAAAAAAAAAAAAACAGCCGAACAAGAAAAGCACGATACACTTTGATACCATATTTAGCAGAGCCCCGAACTGATTGTTGGACGTCCCTGACATGCGCAGCGTGTCCCCCAACGACATAATGCTGCGGTTGGGCGAGTACGACCTGAAGAGCGAGCGGGAGCAGCTGCCGCACGTGGAGCGGCGGATCCAGATCGTGGCCACGCACCCGCGCTTCGACGCCAGCACCTTCGAGTACGACCTGGCCCTGCTCCGCTTCTACGAGGCCATTCCATTTAAGGACAACGTGCTGCCCGTCTGCGTGCCGGACACCAACGACTCCTACGTCGGCCGAAACGCTGTTGTTACCGGCTGGGGTCGCCTGTACGAGGGTACGTGGTCCTCTCGCTAGGTGGCGCAAGTTGCCGCCCGATTCAAAAGGCCAATTTGTATTCATTTATCGCTTTATTCATTCCTCTCTTGTTGGCGGGAAATGGTACTTGTGACGTGTTGCTTTTGAAACTGTCGCCGCCGAGCGGCCTAAACGGGGTGGTCGGGCGAGTTAATTTCACACGCGCACAAGGTTACATCCGCCGTCCCCCACTGAGCATCCAAAAGGCGACCTGTTGCGTGCATCCTGGCGCACACGCGTTGCTAGGTATGACGTGGTAGCCTAATTTTAAGAAATCAGCCAATCCAGCGCGCGCTCTTTTGCTAACGCGTCTATTGTCTGCATTTTGCAAATACGCAGAATTCAAACGCTCATGTAACAAGTTCTTAATGCGTTCACGTAGAGTAGTCAGTGTCTTACTATCGTGGAAGCTCTGGCCGGCAATCGAACCAGCGGCTTCGTGACGTAGCAGTTATGGAACAGCCTAGGTAGAGAATCAACGCTTATCTTTTCCTCCTCGTTTGATGCTGCATAGGTGGATGAAGTAAAGTATATACGGTGTCCCAAGTCATCAGGCTCGATCTAAAATGGGCCGTAAAAATCGACGCGTGCATGCAGCAATCTAACCTTTTCGTCAAAGCTGTATGTCACGGGTAGGTTTTTCTCGTAAAAATAGAAAGCGTAGATCCCTTTCTGTAAAAAAATAGGGCCAAAAAACTTGCCGGGGTCAACGGCGGGCGCCGACGCAGACGACCAAGTCGTGCAGCGGGGCGGGTTTGGCGCTCGTATTGATAGATGGCGCTACCTCCCTAGCGAGACTGCTCGCGACTACCATGATTTATTCAAATAGACATAATATTTTTGTAATGTACGTTTGGTTAAAAAATAAATCCAGACAATAAAAGCAAAACTTAAAGATAAAAAAAAGCTTTTGCATAAAGACGGCGTTTTTGCTGCCAACGGATTTCGTCTACGTATCGTAAGCTTTCTTTCGCTGATCGGCTAACCCTTCGGACGCCACTCCCGGCGCCATCTATCGATACGCGCGCCAAACGCACCCCGCAACTCCACCGCCACCACCGAGACTGACTCTAGGCCTCCGCGCGCTTCCGTGACGACACGCATGCGGGATGGGCCTGGAGGTCGGCTTCACCTCGCGCTCAGAAGGTTTACGACGCGCTGGTTACCGAAGGCCGCTGATACCATTGCTTAAATAGCGCAAAGACAATAATGATTAGGACTATGCCTAGAAAATAGTTTTCCAAAACATAAAAAAATACCAATAGTTTTTTTTTTTGCTTTGTTCATACATAAACGCCTGTGCACCGCGATGGATGTTATGAACACAAGTCAAATCACCGCGGTACCTGTAAAAACCTCGCTTCTGGCGCGATCCCTTCTGCAAAATATTTATGTAGCCACTACAGTGGCGATACCTCACATTCAAAGAAACGCGAAACGCAAAGCAGATTGGCAATACAGAGGAGGAAAGGCCAGGAAGGTATTGACTCAGGTTTTCAAAAACAAGTGATTTATTACAGGAGATGACAAAAATGAAGAAAAGAATGCAATACAATATCACACAAGATGGATAATGCACTTACGCAATTCTGCCAGCATGACAGAATTACCTCTACACAGTCGAAATGATTTTCACTTCTGCGGAGTTGGCAGCTTTCGGGTTTCTTTTGGATTAGTCTGTTTGTCATTTGCTGTCTGCAGCCTCTGCTTTCCTTTCAGAATGCTTAGTTGGTTGTTTACCGTTTTGCACAGATTGTTCAGCAATGTATTTGCCGCTGCACTCAAGATATGATGCATGAGCTCCTGTTGGGAATGACCGAATCGCAGTAGTCAAGAGGCTCAAAATTACTGAGAAGCACGAGACACAAGTGGCTCCTTCTGGTTGGTCAGATCAAGAAATTGTGAAGCATACTGCTTGTTTCTCAGCTTGTCAAGGACAATTTGAGTGAAGAGCACTGCGTTCAGTACAACTGCTTGAGGAAATTTCAAGCCTCCCATTGTCATACCTGCAATGAGTATGTTTTCGTGATGGTCCAAGTCTGTAAGTTCTAACACAAGGGCTTCTTTACAAAATGCAGACATCAGCTTCTTCAACGCAACATGTACACCCTATCCTACAACGTACGTCGCAGCCGGCATCCTTGTAGCTTTCTTCTTTATGTCAGCATTTGTAACCTCAATTTGAAACTGCTCGTGAACTGAATCAACAGTGATTTTCGACACGGGTGCTACTCGACCTCCAAGTCAGGAGGGTCTAGTACTTTCTGCAGCCTTAGTTTGTTCTCAGATTCGTAAATCTGTCAAACCGAGACATGGTCCTGGGAACCGCTCAGCAGGCGGTACTGTCCGAATCTTTCTTCAAGCGAATCGGTCTGAAATTTTTCAAGCAGAACATATTTGAACCGCAGCTCCTGCAAACAGTACAGAAAAATTTCACGCAGAGCATGGCTTGTGTGACCGAGAGCCATGTGCGTTTCTGGTGTGAAACGTCCCGCATCACGCTTAAGGCTGGCCCAGGAATCATCATCATTTATTATTCCCTGAAGGCCCAGGGGGCATTACCACTCTGGGACTTTTTTCAAAAATTCCAACTGCGGGCAGGATGCTGAACTTCCTGGGTACTACATGTCATCCCGCAGGCGTTCGCCTTTACTCGGAGTCTTGACATTTACGATTTGCCCCCAAGTTAGAATGGTGCCTATGAAGACTGGAGTCTCTTTTGCATGCTGAATGGTGGTAGAGTTCAGTGCAGCTACTGTTGACTCGTTGAAAATTCGCAGTGCAAGCTTAACATTTTGACTTTCCATATTGGAAGGGTCGAGTGCCTTTAAAGACAGTGTTGGTGCTATCTTTAATAGCTCATTTTGTTCGGCTTCAAGCAGCTCGCGCAACGCTTTAAAGGATGCTGTTAGGATAGGCGGCTTGGGATCAGTGCTACTTGGGTTGGGGAAATACATGCACTTTCCACTGTTCGCTGGTTCAGCCAATTATTTATCACTGACTTCAACACGTGAACTGGGTCTAAAATGTAAAATAGTGGCCGAGATGGATCAGCTGGATGCGGATACACAATTCTCGCCTGAGGAGGGTTTGCAAAAAACTTTATTGCCTTCCGATTTATCGAGTTGTTCGAAACAACTGCTACAATTCTGAATCCAAGTACTTCTAGGTCAGCGATTAGTTTTCTTAAGAGTTCCTCTAGTCCTTTTGCGTCAATTTGTGCTACAGGCAGAATGTGAACAACGTCTTTGTGGTTTGAGAGGAGGCTTTGCAGCATGAAAACATGAGCTCTTTTAGCTGGACTTGAGCTGTTTGCAGCAGCACCTGTGACATAACCACCATTGTAATCAAAGTACGCTTGTATGTGAATTTCATCCATCATAAGAGTCACAGTCCGTCCGTGGTCTTTCATAAGGTTGAAGATTGTCTTTGCATAGTCTAAAAAACAAGAGTCTTGCTGCTCTAGGACAGGGCTCACTCCATATCAGCCCTCCGCCGTTGACCCTGGCAAGTTTTTTGGCCCTATATGTTACAGAAATTGAGCTACGCTTTGTAATTGTAATTTTACAAGAAAAAAACGACCTGTGAAATAAACCTCTGACATAAAGTTTAGATTGCTACTTGCAGGCGTCAATTTTACGGTTAATTTTAGATCGAGCCTGGTGACTTGGAACACGATGCTTTAGTTATTGGATGGCTCATTCAGAATATTTATGTTATGCAGAATAAGCCATGCAGTAACTGATTATTTCGAATGTCACTTATGCGCCATTCAGCGAAGGGTTGTAGATAAAGAGCTCGGCAAAAGTTTTGCGGTGTCCCCATCCAACCGTGATTTCCGCATTGAGCCTCTTCTGCTTAGGCTATTTCACTAAACGCTACATCACGAAACAGCTCATTTGGCAGTCGCCATCAGAACTGTTCTCTCATCAGACAAAATACTGGTCGTGCGTTCCTTATATGTTTGGTGATCACTATACAACGTAATTGAATCACCAGGTGTCCATCGGCACTAAATTCAATTCAAGAAATTATCTTCCACGTTGCGAGCAAACAAAGCCTACACCTTTCAGGAAGCCTCGCCGGTAATCGTGGACCCCACACCGAGGGATGTCGCTGATCCCCGTTAGATATAAAGGAACATAATCACCACTCTGCAGACCGTGACATATCCAACCATCCAAAGCTCACAAAACCTGTTCGCACTGAGCCCACTGTATTCTAGGGCAGTTTCTTGTATTCCGCCCGGTTACGTTTTTGATATCACGTTCACGATTCAGTGTTGTCAGCTTTTACACTTCGTAGGGTACCAATATTGAACAATTTCTTGTGTGCTTTTAGACAAATATTTTAGAAACAGATGGCGTTTCGTTATGACTCATTTGGAAATTGCAAAGATTTTATGTTGCTCTTTTTCCCTTTATTTTTTTAAGGAACCCGTGCAAGTTTTATTAGGACGGTTAACAGCATAGGCATAGCCATTTAACCTCGTTTTCCCTTCCATTTAAGCATACCCCAATAAAAGGAAAGAATCTTTATTTATTTTAGGTGTGAGAACCAGTGTTGCAAAATGGGCCCCCCATTCCATTCCAATTCCATTCCGGGAATTAAAGTTTTCGATAATTCAATTCCTTTCAACTCCTAGGAATGGGGACACTGGGCGCATTCCCACTCCTGGAAAGGCTGAATCGTTCCATTCCATACCTCTAATTCCTAAACGTAAAAATTGGCACTTGACAGCTGCATTGCATTGCAGGGTTGGGCAGAAATAGTCAAAAATGTATTTAAAAATACAAATACTGGGATAGAAAAAAATAGCAGCTAAAATGTTGGTACTAAAATATATCTGTAAAAATGTACCGCGATACGTATCGGAAATACATTTTAAATAAAGTCAAAAAGTCTTTGGAAAATTAAATACAGGAATACACTTTAGGGAGGGCAGACATATAAATACTGATAATGCAATACATTTTTCAA